GGGGGACCCGGGGCTGGAGTCTGGGGGGACCCGAGGCGGGCAGGGACACCTAGGATTGGAAGCCGGGGAGGTCTGGGCATCTGCTGCTGGGAGGGAGGCTGGGGGGCTTTGGGGACGGGGCTGGCCTGGCGAGGTGGGGTGAAGATCTAGGTGGTGGCCCTGTCTGGGTGTGGGGGAGGATGAGACCCTAGTGGCTGCTTGGGGATGGTGGCCCCCCTGGGGTGTTTAGTGGCCCAGTGATATGAGCTGTGATCCGGGAGTCCTGGGTTCTTTTTCTGTCTTGGCCCTTGGGCACGTCGCTCCACCCCTTTTTAGGTGGAGATGATGCTTCCCTGCTCAGTGCTTAGCAGGTGACGGAGGGGCCTGCTGTTTGTAAATTGCATTGAGATTCTTGGCTGGATGGTGCTACAGCAAAACTAGTGTGAAGAACCCTGCAGCACTTGTTACTTTCTGCTACAATAGGGCTGTGTTTGCTTATACCGAGGACTGGTCTTTGGGGGCAGGGGACTGCCTCTTATTCTGTGTTCACAGAGCGCATAGCACAGTGAAGTTCAGGCCGCTGTGTTTTGTTTCACACCAATAACTGTCTCCCGTCTTCCTACTGCATGTCCTCAGTTAGGAGGATACTTAAACTTTTTCATTGATGCTGTTTCAATTGTGATGGTTGGCCCCAAAGCACCGGAGAGTTTTATGCTTTGTTACATTAGATCAGTGGTTCTCAAACTTCATTTTATCCTGACCCCCTTCTGACCAAAAAAAATTACTACACGACCCCGGGACGGGGGACCGAAGACGGAGCCTGCCCGACAAAGCTGAAGCCCAAGGGTTTCTGCCTTGGGTGGTAGGGCTTGGACTTCAGACTTGCTGGGGCCCAAGACCAACACCAGCCTTGGTGACCCCATTTAAATAGGATCCTGCCCCACAGTTTGAGAACCCCTGCATTAGATGGATTGCTTAAAATATTGCTTTAATAAGCCAATATTAAGTCTGCTGGGGAAGTTTTTTGTTGAAAATGGAAATAATGATACTTACCACTTTTGTCAAGTGCTTTATTGATGGAAAGTGAGATAGAAAAGATGCTGCTGGTATTTATTTATTAATTACTGCTACTACTCAATTCATGGGGGGAGATTTACTAACAGAATTTAAGTGTGAAATTAACTGTAAACCAGAGAAGTTCTGTGTCTAGCCCTACTGGAAATAGTGTCTTAACTGTGGAGTTTATACATTTGATCAGCTTCTCTGTTAATCAGATGGACAGCAGACTAGGTGTGCTGGATACAACACATTCTGCAATGTCATCAAGGAGAATTAGGCCTTGCATGCAACAGAATGTTTTAGAGAGGGGGAGCAGGAGAGAAGGGCTTTGCCCTCGGAGTTTATTTGGTATTCTGAATGGTGAGGAGAGCTTATCTGTGGTCCCGGACATGAAGCTTCCTTTATAGCCACAGATTCAGTCTCAGGAAGATCTTGTTTATACGTAGAAAGTGCATACAGCATGTGCATGAGGTGATCAGGTAATTAAGTTGGTACTGCAGTAAGCCTTATTGCAGTAGAAAATAAGAATTAAAAATTGGAGAACCTAATATTAGGGTTAAAATACTGTGCCAGCGAGAAAATGACTTCAAAGGAGGCATTAATTATTTATGATCAGTATAACTGGCATTTGTTAAAGGAAATCAGATATTTGACGCTTTTCTGTAGCAGTGAGGCCAGCTAGATAATGGCTAACTTTGCTCTGGGAGGACCTGCAGGTATTTCTAGAAGGTACTTGACCAAACGATCTAAAGATTTAGCACAGACTGTACAAGACAGACCTAAGCAAATGCAGTGTAATAGAGTGTAACTGATTCAGGGGGTCCCTTCCAGCCGTGTTATCTGATCTGTGTGTCTTGGCTAAGCTGCATGGTTCTATTGATACTAGTTCTTGTAGTATAGTTAATGAGTGTACTATACATGTCCACTGAACCCTAAAATTATCTTTTTATTTTTTTTCTTGTATAGTCTATTATGTCCTATAATGGAGGAGCTGTAATGGCCATGAAGGGGAAAAACTGTGTGGCCATTGCATCGGACAGACGGTTTGGAATTCAGGCTCAGATGGTGACCACAGACTTTCAGAAGATTTTCCCTATGGGAGATAGACTATATATCGGCCTGGCTGGGCTTGCCACAGATGTGCAGACAGTGTAAGTGGAATCTTCTCTTGTGAACACTTGATATTCCTGGCCTGTAGGAAGGGAGTTTGTTGTATATCTATAAAGACACAACATATGTTACACACAGATGTTTAGGTAGTATCTTTGTCTATTCATCCAGGTGTGGGCTGCTTGAATACCAAGACTTACCTTCTCTGAACCCCACTCCAGTCAGTCCTGTTGGGGTTATTCTTGAACCATCCCAAAAGTCTTTGAAAACATGCTTTCTCCACAGTGCCAAAGACTAGCAACATTGGTTGTTGGCTAATTGTGCCCTGCTTAAAAAAAAAAAAAAAAATCCACAGTGTTCCAAAATCAAAGCTGTGTCTGATTTCTTAAGAGCACATGGGTAGTGAGAACCAGATGTCCACATTTGAAATGCATATGTGCATGCATTCTAAATACGTGTCTGCATCATGTGTCCATCAGATGTTAATCTCTAGTAGCAAATATTAGCCATTGGGAGGGTGGAAGAGGTCTTGATGCATGTGATTTTAATACGGATTCTGATCTCCTCTGCAGTGCCCAGCGGCTGAAGTTCAGGCTGAATCTCTATGAACTGAAGGAAGGCAGACAGATCAAGCCCCAAACTCTCATGAGTATGGTGGCCAACCTACTCTATGAGAAACGGTAAATATCAAACAGCTGAGCCATTCCACAGATATCACTGAAATCAGGGCATGGTTAATTGAGTTAAATTACGACTCTAGAGGAGTTGAGAGGCATGTTAATTTTCCTAGTGTCAGCAAAGACAATTTACCTACGTTGACTGTGGTAGCTGAACTGGAGATGAACACTGCTGAACTCCACGTATAGATGGACTCAGACAGTGAATAAACCATACAGTTCCGCCAGTTTCTGAAATGGTGCTGAACATAGTTTTACTACATGTGTAGACAGGACTAAGCCATCTTCAGCAGCACCAGTTATCAGTAATGGGAAACCTTAATGGAGACATAACTATTGTATGGGTGTCGTACACCAAAGACTTAAGAGCTAGGTCACTGAAGCATTCACTAGAGAGATGGATAGTTAACAGCATAGAGGGGAAGAGTTTTTGGAATGAAATTATGTCCCTGGAATTGGTTTCAGTTTGGGTCCAATGTTTAAGGAAAGCTTGGTTGTTTCTAGATTCTTACTGTCACAAAGAGGAGTTGCACACTGAGTGACAATTAATAAACAGGAAGCTGCTATCTTGAATCAAAGTGTTCCTGACAATCGCCTTTCGCATAGAATATTATCAGGGAGTTAAGTTAAGTAAACTCTGATTTGTAGATCAAGCATTCTGAGTTAGGCAAATTCTCTAATGTGCTGAAATGACCTGGAATTCTCTTCTAGATCAACCCCCAACAGAACAAATGTAAGATATTTATAAACAACACTCAGTTCCAATTGTACCACATTTCTATTGCTGAAGGCTGTTTGGAGGCAGGCCAGTGGGATCTAAAGATTCTCCCCCACCACTTAAAACATCAAAACATGATGGTTATGTGCTCATGGATGCAGAGGACACCTGCTTTTGAAATATAAGGACCACTTATTTTTCCTGAACCCAGATCAAAACTGTTCGTTCCTACAAGTAATGATTTGCCTAAACACCAGAATCTGGAAATCGTAAACAGTTTTTGAAACTTTGACTTCAATGGGGAAGCAGATTATTTCAGTGTGTCTTTTTGTCAATGAAATAAAAGTCCATTCACAGTTAGGAGGTACTAACACAGTAATTGGGTAATTCCAAACTAATTTGAAAGACTCCTACTAACACCTGAGATGGAATAAACACTTTCCTTAAATACCTACTGAGTTAGAATTCTGCTGTTACTTCAAATTTTTGCATCCTTAGGCTGTTCTAACGTTTGCCTTGCTGTTCACAGGTTTGGACCCTATTACACAGAGCCAGTTATTGCTGGACTGGACCCTGTAACTTACGAACCTTTCATCTGCTCTCTGGACCTGATTGGTTGTCCCATGATAACAGATGACTTTGTTGTCAGTGGCACCTGCTCAGAGCAGATGTATGGCATGTGTGAGTCTCTCTGGGAGCCTGACATGGTGAGTGAGGAGGTGGCAAGATCTGTCTAGTTGTTTAACTTCCAAGTGATTCTTGGATTTTTTGGAATCCTTTGCTGTTAAATTGGACACAGGGAATTCAGGCTACTCCTGATATATAATAATGCCTCTACCTTGTGAAGTGCTTTGAGACTACTGATGAAAACCCCTATATAATCTTTAACGTACTTATGTTCACAAACACCCCTGTGAGGTAGGGAAGCATTATTTAACATAGAGGGAACTAAGGCACAGGGAGGCTAAGTGACTTGTCCACAGTTACACAAGCAGTCTGGAGTGGAGTGAAGAATAGAAACTGGGTCTCCCATGTGCTGGGCCAGTGCCCTAACCCCCCTGATGGACAATAGTAAAAGTTTTAGGGTAAGTTCTGGCAGAACTATGCGAGATCCCGAGTCAAGTTTCTCTTGGGCATGGAGAGGGTCAGATTGTTAGTTAGGTGAACTGCCCCAACCCCTAGTAGCTCAGCTATAGAAGCCAACTAAAAGAGTTTCCCTTCCTCTTTTTTCAGGAGCCAGACCACCTCTTTGAAACGATCTCGCAGGCTATGCTGAATGCAGTGGACAGAGATGCGGTGTCTGGCATGGGTGTGGTAGTGCATATCATGTAAGTACAGCTCACACAGTCTCTTTCCCATGGAGAGAAGTGGCAGAGTTAAACACAGAGCCTTAAGTCAGTCAAGAAACGACTACCAGGCCTGACCTCTGCCGTTCTTTAGTGACGTCTTATCTACACTAGATCTTTACATTTCCCATGATTGCTAACCTACCTTGCTGCAGCAGCACCAGTGATAATAAATTGAGTTTAGTATAGCTGCTGTTAGCAGTATTCCCTCCTTCAGTCATGATTATGTGCACCCAGGAAGTGCTACTACTTCCCACTGAGATGAAATCATATGCCACTGTGGAACTCAAGATTTCCACGCAGGACTAAAAGCTGCCTTGTTGCTGGGTCAGCCAACCCTTATGTTCAGTAGTCTCCCTACTGCGTCCTCAGCAGTGTCCCAGCCATTGTGTTAGGAAATAAAACTAGTTTTGTTAAGCAGCGAATGAAGGGAGGGACTTGTTTAGAGCTCCATCTGAAACTGTAGTGGGAGATGTGGCCCAGGCTCACCCCTTCAGGTTCTGGAGGAGAATGAAGTGTCAGTGACCTATTTCAAACCCGTCTCTGCACAGGTGTTGGTGCTAAGATGCGTGATAGATGTTCATGAATAAATGGCTCCCTAACAGCCAATCTACATGGTCTCCGATAAGTAGGGAGACCTCTAAAACTAGGGCATTGCACATGCTCAGGGTCTAATTGACCACCATATTTGGGGTCAGGATGGAATTTCCCCTCAGGTAAGATTGGCAGACGCCCTTGGGTTTTTGCCTTCCTCCACAGCATAGGGCTTGCGTCACTTGCAGGTTTAAACTACTGCAAATGGCAGAGTCTCTGTAACTTGAAGTCTTTAAATCATGATCTGAGTTACTGAAGTCCTCAAGCAGAGGTTAGGGGTCTGTTACAGGAGTGGGTGAGGTTCTGGGGCATGCAATGTGCAGGAGGTCAGATTAGATGATCACAATGATGCCTTTTGACCTTAAAATCTATGTCGTAGCAGCTGTAGGCCAAGCTCACTGCATACAGCAGGGGCTTCTTGCATCCCTCTCTGTCTCCCTCCAAGCTCCCTGGATGCCAGCTTCCCATCACCCTTCCGAACCATTCTTATCCCCCAGACAAGAGTCAGGGTGTTGACACGTTAAACTCTTTTTGGGAGTATGAGCAGAGATGAGGTATTACGCTGGAAGGCAATAATGGGTGCTATCAACCAGTAGTTAACGGCAGAGCTGCTTGAAGGTTGGGCTGTGTGAAACAGCTGGCAAGGGTTCTCACCTCTTAACGCCCAGAACATTTCCTGAACTTTAGAATTGATCCGAGGGGGGTGTTGATGAGTTACTGCATTGCATAGAAACATTCCACCTCCTTTTTGGAAGGATGAAGTGGTAGTTTGTCTCTCCTCTCTTTTGCAGTGAAAAAGACAAGATCACCACCAGGACACTGAAAGCACGCATGGACTAGCCTCAGAAGTTTGTGCTTGTTTCACAGGCCAGGCTATTTTGAATTTTTTAAATAAACTCTCTCCATTATTGTATGGGGCTGGCTTGTTCTTGAGTCAATACACTATAGGTAGAGAGTGCAGGCCTAATGTAACAAGTACACTTATTACAAATTAACTACAGAACAGGAGAATCTGGATTTAGTCACTCTGCAATACCCCTCACCACAATGAGAAGGCTTGGTTTTTAGCTATATGGTTGGAACATAGTTCGCTATCATCCAAGCTGGAGAATACTAAGAGTAGTGGTAAACTGCTGAAGCTGTTGCTTTTTAGGGTAGGCAGCAGTGTTCGTTTCATGTCCCATTTGCCAGCTGTGCACACATTCAAAGTGAGATTCTTACAAACCAGCTAGTAGGGGCCTGCTCAGAAGAAAACAGTATTTACTTTAACTGGGATTATACCTGTAAAACTGTACTTGGAATTGCAGCAGTGGCAGAGGATAGGAATCTGATTTTGCACAGCTTGGCTACAGTAAAAACAGGCACACCAGGAAGATCAGAACTTATTAGACAATGATGTACACAAACTTTTAATTTTATTTTTTTCTGGCTGAGACTCATCTTGTAACATGCATGCGTTTCAAAACAGTAAGTTTCTCAAATTGCTCCTAGCAAACAGACAAGCACAGAGGACTTGATTCCTATTTAAAAAAACTGAAACAGCAGTGAAAATCTAGAATGCTCCATTTTTCTTAGTTTTAGATTTAATTTATTCACATTTTTTCAGTTGCACTGATTAGCCCCACCCCTGACCTGTGTGTAATAGGCTCATTTAACACAGCTCAATCCAATTGCATTTAGTATCATACATCTAAACAAAGAACAGCACAAGATTTGAGTGGTAAACTTAAACCACTCTAATCATAGATGACCAAAAGCTGGGTTTCCCCTACTTTTACTGGTGCTATTACACAAGAATTCATTACACATGTCAAGGAAAGTCAGTCATGGCTAATTGAAAATAAGCTCTACAAGGACAACAGAAACTGGTAGGCAAGTTGGAAATGGTGCATTGAAAAGCAGGAGGGGAGGGTATTGCAATGTTTTCCAATTATTATAACAATGTTTTGAATCATTAGTTATAGGATGGTGCAACAAAGTTTCAGCGCACACACCTTGAGCTTTGAAATGTTTGTTTATACCACCTCAAGTTTAAAAACACTCCAATCTTTCTACAGCAACAAGTGGGGCACCTCTGCACAGTAAGTATAGGATAGGGAGTCCTTCATAGGTTTAAGACAGAATATAAATCACCCAGCAAAAGACTTTTTCTCCATAATTAGTCACACTACAATTTTATGCCTCTAGTTTTACTGGGTTTAGAACAGTTGAAGGCAGTTCCGATAGCCACTGGCAGGAAAAGCAGTCATTCTTTGCCCAGACGGGCAAACAGCAAGCACCCCTCATTATTAAAACACGCTTTTAATTTTTACTGACAGTAAAAATTAAATCAAGTTAGATTTCCTGGAAGTGGAAGAGCAGGCCCTTCATCATGCTATAAAGTCTGTATCCACCTCAAAAGTGCATTGTTTTACATAAAGAAAATTGCATGCCATCTCATATCTAAACAAATGGCAACATGTTGAATATTTTCATAACATCCTTGGTCCTATCCAGTATTTTCAGCTGAAAATTCCAAGGCCATTTGACCCCTCTGGGATTAAGTCAAACACCAGTTGACCTTTTTAAAGTACACTCCCACCCCCTAGAGCTTCATAATTAGCTAAAGCAACTACAATCAAAACTAGGGCATCATTAGAGGCACTGTATTAAGTGATAAGTAGAAAAGATTTGATAGTGAGGGAGGAAACAGAATCATACACACACACGTCTTCTTTGAGAAGTGAATTCCATAACCACCCCTGCTTGCTGCTCTTGTAGGTGTATGACAAGGACAATCAGTCTGTACACAAAAGAAACCAGAGACTGGCCAGGTAGGGTTAGGCCCAGTGCAGCAAGAGAGAGAGATGCTCCTGCCCTGATTAATTTTTCCTAAAGTTAGGGAATGTTCTCACTTCCAGCACACACCCCACTATCTTCCAGCTCCACCCTAGCTTTTTTCCTTTTCCCCAGCATTCTCTAGAAAAAGATATAGCATGTTAGCAAAGAGACTTTCCTGCCATTTGGCTGGAGTCTCTTAAGTGACCTGCTATTAGAGTTTATTCTACAGCTCTGAAGACTGCATCTTTTTCCACATGAGCTATGGTTTTAATTGCAATGCACTTCAGTGTAAAGTGATTTGGGAGGGCACGTGCTACAGGCAGAAGTATATCGACATTCAGCAACCTCGAACACAAAGTCAGACTGAAACTAAATTAAGCTATTGCAGGCAGTTGTAAAAAAAAAAAAATCAGGATTGGGGAGGGGAAGGGGAGTTAAATACTTGAACTCAAGAGAATAAAGGTATTCTGTATCAAGATTAAAACAAACAAAAGCAAAAGTCCCTTTTAAAAACAAATCAAATATTTGCAACTTCACCTCTTATAGTAACAAAAAAATACTGTCTAGAAACAAAATTAGCATTTTTAACATAATGCTACCTCTCAAAATGTAAACAATATACAAACTGCTTATGTTAAACAAAGTTATACCTGGGTAATACATCTTTAAATGATAAAATTGCATTTAGTTATTTTTTATATATATACACACACACAGTATGGCAACAAAAATGGCAAAATGGGGTAAGTGCTAAAGTGAATAGATATTTTTAGGGCTTTTATACCACTCGAGGCATTGAGACAACCAAATGGGGGTCTAACAGAGGATTCTTTGCTCCCTATCTAGAGTGGGAAAAGAAATCACTAGATCTTAAATCCTTAGCGTCATGTGTTTTGTAACATTGGCTGCAAGAACTACTCGTTTTGATTTCAGCTGTTTACCAAGTTCCAGTGAATCAGTTTTTTGCCCCAAGTTACATAAACGTCTTCCTTTGACTGTCCTTGGGTTGCCCACTTAAAAATATCCCACTGCAGAATGGCTGCAGTTTACTTCCCTATTTACCATAATTAAAAAAAATAATTGCATATTTATAAGTCTAGCACACTAAAGTTTCAACTAATTTCCCACAAGGAGAGTGGCAAACTTACTAGGCCAAAATTGTAGGTTCAGGACTTTTTAAACTGTCAAGAGTAAAACGCGATTGGTATTTAATTCCTATTTCACAGCAGACATAAGTGCATTTTTTGTTTAGAGGAAAGCAACCAATATCCTTCTTCACCCCTCTAAGTTTTCTCTTATCTGCACTTGATTTGTGGTATTGTCAGCCAAACACCCTAAGATGTGCGAGAATCTTACTAGGGTGTCAGACAATAGCATGTTAGTTCCCCAAATTTACACAAAGACAATGGATTACAAGGGCATAAAAAAATTTGTCCCCCATCAAAGGGAATGACCCATGAATGAACAAAAAGTTTCATGTCCCATTAAAACCAATGATTTGTTTTAGACCTTTTTTAAACAATATTTACAATGTACTCTTCTAAGCCTAGTTTTCAGTCTTGACAAATCCCCCGTCATCCCCTATGCTAAGAGCTGTGGAATCACTCAAGAACGTGGATTTAAAAAGTCATCCTGCATTCAGAATCCAATCACAGCTAGCATTAGTCTAGTTAGTTACGAGGACACGATGAGTACCACCTCTCTCTCACACAGGACCAAATCGACAGAGCAAACTAGCACATGTTATAGCACAGGACACAAACATTCTAACAGCTTATTCCTGAAACAAAGGCATTTGTGAAAACAGTTTCAAGGCAGATAAGCAACTTATGTCAACTGCAAGGTATCTCTTCAAAACAGCTAAATCCTGCTTAAAAAAAAAAAACAGACAACTGTTCTGCAGCAGAACTAATTAAACTTACAGCAAGTTCGACAAGCTTGGCTGTGAAAAATATTACAAGCGGTCTGGAGACAAATAGGACATAATTCAATCACGCAAATCAGTTCAGATTCCTTAGGGGGAAAAATATCTGGAGGAAGTGTTCAGTCATTTATGCCCATTGACTCACTCTACCAGCTAGAGTTATGGACCTGGAGCAGAGCGGAGCGTAGACAAATATGGCTCAAGTTCGGAGTCCTCTTGAGCAGTGGAACTGGGGACACAGTCACAACTACCAACACTCCAAACTGACAGCAATTTACATTTCTCAAGATGCACTTCATGTTGACTTGGTTGGTTGGTTTTTTAAACCTCTCTCAGGCAACAGTTCAAGTACTTGTAACAGGATTGGATGAGTTAGGAAGACTCTGAACATTAGCTAGATTAACACTGGCAGAACTGTCATGCGTCAGCTCTATTTTAGAGGCAGGGAGATTTAACAATTGTCATTTTTTCTAGACAGCCAAATGTAACCCGAAACCTGCAGAATAAGTTAACATGATTTTCTTCTTCAATGGAATCTTCCCAGGCCGCCTATCCTAAGCATGATGGTTCTGTGGCTATCCAGTATTTTTCATACTACTTTTTTAGCTTCTATGAGTTATGCCTTAAGTGACCATCTTTGGTAGATGTTCATTTCCCTCGTCTTTCTTGTGACGTTAATTTCTCAAGTAAAAGAAATTTTTAACACCCCCCAAAAGAAAGGTTCCCAGCCTGAATTTACCTAGTTAAGGTTCAGCAGCTCCTCAACATTTTCATCTTTGAAATGGCAGACTACTTTTTCCCCCCCCGACTCCTACCGAGAAGGAAATAAAAGGGTTTGTACGGCTTTCTGTTAAAAAAAGCTGTCCATTAAAAAGAACAGCAGTTTGTGGAATTAGGCGTTGCTTCTCCTCTTATTTAACACAAGCTACAGGTTAGAGCTCCCCCTTTTAAACAGCCATTCGTGGTATCCTTACTGGCGTCTCTTGATCAGAGAGGAGAAAATGTCATTATGAACAGCATTGCTGCAGCAATTAGATTCTCTTTTTTAAAAAAAGCCTCAAATCTCTATTTGGGCATTTCTGTAACAAAAGGAAAAAAGCCACTTTTCCACCTGGGTCAAGTGGAATATTTGAGAATGCACCTAGATTAGTTTCCTGTAAATCATACAGTGCCACACGCTCACACTCACTCATACCCCACGTGCTGCTACAGTGTCTGTTTTAGTGTCACAGGCTGTGTTCTCTGCTTGGAAGTAGCCCCTCTTCTCTTCCTTTCTGGCTCAAGGTAGAAGGTGACTATGTCAGGATATTGGACATAAATTCATTGAAGCGTTTAGAGTACTGCTCCGGATTCACCGTGGAGATCTCCGCCCCAGCCTGCAATGCACGAAGGACAGATTACAAGGCAGCACTGTGGCAGCTGCAGGGGACTGTTCATAACTGCTAAGCCCCAGGGAGTGAGGAGACAGCAGAAGGTTACTGTACCAGCACAGCTAAGCACCAAGAATCACACAAACAAGAATCCACAAGTTACATGGGTTCCAAGCTCCATGACAACTGGACTCCTGAAGGAATTTGCTTTAAGTCTAAGTCTGGGGCTCTACTCAGGAGATGAATGCATGGAAAGGCTCCATATCCTACCCACTTGCCAGCTCCTTTCAAGCCCTCTTTGGTAGTGACCTAAAGTTATTGCCTGATGGCTGTTTGGTGACCTAGGCAAAGCAAGTTGCTGGGTGTCAGTCCACTTTCTAGTGATTCAGGGTCACCAGGCACCACTGCAGCAGGCTCACATGTTGGTAGTCTGAGCAGAGAGGGAGAAGCCAATCGGCCAAGGAGCTTGATCTCTCCTCTCATCCTAGAGGCGGTTGTATCCAGGTCAACTCTGAGGCATGTTGGCTGTTCTGTAACTGTTCTGGGGATGGAAGGCTGCAATCCTCAGGGCCGGCAAGCTGGCAAGCTTGCCCAACACTAGTCACTTGCGGAAAAGAGCAGGAGATCTGGCAAATGAAAGTTTCCCTCAGTGGGCTGGCCCAGTAGCTTAATGTCTGTTGTTTGTATTGCTAAGAGGGGGAGACCTGAGCCCTTGCTCCTTGAGTCAGAGACAACGGGGCAGGAGGCTCAGCCCTGGTGAACAGATTAATGAGGGATACCACCAGGTTAAGGATCAGTTCTGTTGCAGATGGAAGGATCTCATGGGCAGTGGGGGAATTTCCAGGCCCCTGAAAAACTGGTTTTAGCAATTATTCAAAAGTCAGCACCACAAACAAAACGAGAGCGACCCGGACTTGTCAGAGGAGAGACCTGCTTACCCCATGTTTCACTGTTTTGGCAGCATGTGCAGCTTTCTTCTTTGCATCGTACGGCGTAAGAATATCTATAATGGCCATGAAATACACCTCCTTCTTAGGGGCACCTGAGAAGACACAAAAGTCTCTAACATACCCCCAAGCTACATCAGCAGCACTTGAAAAGCCACCTGCAGCCACCTCTATTAATAGAGTATATAAATCTGCTTTAATGTAATTAACAGGCAGGTGGGAGAAGCAGATTGTAAATGGTTGGAGATTGTAAGAGATAGAACAGAGGAACTACTGGGAACATCAGAGCAGAGATCCACATACCCTCTAGAAACATCTACACCCCACACTGAAAGCCTTGTTTCCATGGAGTTTAAACATTTACCATTTACAACAAGGGAACTGAACATCCAAGTGGACTGGTTCCCAGGAGGGGGTCTGGGTTAGTTCTCGTTGGACATACTCCACCCACAACAGGACACTCTCCTGCCCCTCCACATAACAAGACCCCTCCTCACTCACTGTCATGGCTTTTCATGGCATATACGTCGACTGAAGGGTCAAACTCCCCAGGCCCGAAGAACCGCGGGAAGTTGAGGAGGTTGCCGGGGCTGTCAGGTGGGGTCCCATAAGAGCCAATAGGGTTCCCGCCAATGCCATCGTTCTCACACTCCTCGTCCTCGGCCCGATCCTCCACGTCCATCTCCTCCTGCTCCGCCCGGTCGACGTCGTGAATGCCCACCAGCAGGCTGTAGTCCATGATCTTCAGTTGAGCTAAAAACTGGGAGGAGGGAGCAACAAAAGCATAGGGACATTTCAATTGGCTAAGGCACATCTCACGAGCCAACGCTACCTAAACCTCAGCAAGTGCTGCCTCCAGCGAGCATGGTCTTGTGACTAGAGCAGAGAGGGGAGAGTCTGGTTCTATATCTGGCTTTGGGATGACGTGAGACTTGTTCCAAGGACATATAGCGGCTGGCAGTAGGGCTGGGAACAGAACCCAGGAATCCTGACTCTCAGTCCTGTGCTCTGACCATTTCTAGCTTGGTCGTGAATGCTTAACGTTTCGTTGGTTTGAGGGCCTTGCCTGGAAAGGGGTTATGGAAGTGCTACTGCAGCTGGAGAAGGGTGTTAGCAGTGTGTCTATATAAACGTGATCCCATCAAGATACCCAACTGCAATAAAACCAACTGGCGGCATCGTCAACATGGAGAGGAGAAAACCCCTCTGCATTCTGAGCAGAGACAGCCAGTGACCATCACAGTGCGTTGGATCAAAGGACTGCAGCACCGGGAATGGCCTGCTATGTCTGTTCAGGGCCATCTGAAAGACAGAGATCAAATACAGTCAGTCTCTCATCTCTCAGACACTCAGGGGATAGATGCTGCACTTGCTTCCATCTGCCAGGAAATCAGTCCAAATGTTTGCAATGTGTGATACAGGCGCTTGGTTACCTATAGCGAGCCAGAGGGACGGAGGGGTGTTGCCAGTTTAGAAAGGAAGGACGAAAACATCAGGATGGGGAGAGGATCATGACAGAAAAGATGTAACAGCGGGTAGAGCTAAGCCAGCTAACCAACGTGGAATCAGCCAGTGGGGCCTTCTAAGGTGGAACTCCAGAGAGGTTGCTGAAACATTTGCATCCAGTAGGCGGCCAGCGTTTGATACACAAACGCACACAGAGTTGGGGCGATGCTGTATGAGCCAAGAGGCCCACCTAGTGCTGGACACCGTGAGAGACAGGATAACAAAATAGCTGAACCACAGGCCTTGGGCAACTGCGTCAGAGGAGTATTCCTAAAGCACCCCATGTATTCACTAAGGTGTTTTCTGATGCATTCCGATTGGGAGGAGACAAGAGATTCTCTCTGCCCTGTTCTTCCTCGTCATTTCCCAGTCTCCTCCATAGCAATTGCAACAGAGGATGGATACTTCAAAAATAATGCAGCTACTGTACCATTTGGCCGAGAGGGTGCGGGGGAGGAGGAGAGACGGACGGGACTGTGGGGTCACAAAGCCCAGCTGTCGGAGACCTGTTCATGGCAACAATCTGAGCCCCATTTCAATTCTACCTCCACGTCCCGCTTTAGCTTTTCGAGGAAGTGCTTTTTACTCTCTTCTCCAACGTGGAGCTTCTGGCCTTCGTTCAAGAAGTCGTTGTCTTTGAACGTTGGCAAATCCTTGGCCTATGAGAGAGAGGACTGCGTTAGGTGTCCTGAGCCTAATGCCAATGGCCGCAGCTATTGGTGGTTTCATTCTTTTGCAAAATATCAACTGGATCAACATGGCAATGGGAAACAGAGGAAGCTGCATTGACTCAATCTTCTAAAGCAAAGAGATTCGCTCATTCCCATACGCCTGCAAATGGCATGGAGCAAAACACCTGCATTTATCAGCAAGTCCCTTTGCTTGGCTCCAGCTGGGGGAGGAGGCGGCAACAGAGATACCGATAGCAGCTCATTTCAAAGGCTGCCAAAAATAGTTGCTTCAGGCTGAAAGCTAGATAAACAGTCTCAGCCAAGGAGGGGCTAGCCAACCCCACAAATAGAAGGAAAATCCATGTGGTTGTTTTCAGATTAGAAAATCTTGAGACAAGTGCTCCCCTCCCCCAGCCATTACATGAAAATCAATCCACTGCATTTTGAGGACTTTGTAGTGGGGACCAAGTGTTTCTGCAATGTAAGTGCTTCTCATGGATATTAAAGAAATTAAGTTTCACAAACCCTTTGCATGTACAGCTGGGAATTGCATGCTTTCATCCTTAGAATGGCATGGCAATCCACGGCAATTTATATAAATATTATGTGGTGTCAGACAAGAAATCATAGTTAGGGAGTAACCCCACATAACCAGGCACAACGGGGCAATTGTAAAGTGGGGTTAGATTATGTCCAGGTATTGGAGATTTAATTATGAAAAAGGAATTCTCTATGGCTTGTGCGAGAGATCTGTAACTTTTTGGGAGGCTAGTGTGTAGCGAGGAGAGGAAACCTTCCAGGATCCCTCCAATTTCTCCACTCAAAGACCCTGTCAGCAACCAATCCAGCCTTCCAGCCCAGCCTTCCTGCGGGAGTGAAGTGCTGCTCCTTAGATCATCATGACAGCTCCAAAAAATTGAAACAAAAAAAGTGTGGCCTTAACAAGGTGTGCTCAGCTCTACTAAGTGGCTTTGCTATTTGTTATGTCTCATCCCCCTGGACTATACTTACTGCAAAGCCTTATGCATGTGCTTCAGTTTACTACCATGAGTAGGTCTGTTGATTTCACTAGTACGATTTATGGCAGTAACGTTAAGCATGGGCACAGGGGTTTGCAGGACTGGAGCCTTAGGTTGGAAACTCTTTAGAGAAGGGAATCTGGACTAGATTTACAAAGGGATTTAGACACTTAAAGATGTAGATAAGTGCTTAGTGGGATTTACCAAAGTGCCTATCCCAGTTCGGTGTCTAACTCCCAATCTGGCCCTTTGGCTTCAGATTAGTCTGCGAGATACCTGGCATGCTGTGGGCATTAATGGGCAACATTTCTGGAAGAGCCTACGTCACACTGACTTTCAGTGGGACTTAGGCACTTCCGAAAATGGACCCTATGTGAAGTTATTATTAGGTACCTTCTCTGGCAGCGCCAGTAGCCTGGCAAACAAGGGGACCAGGTTGTACCACACCTAGACTGTCAGGCAAGCCTTTGCTTTTTTGTTAATACTTTAGTCCCCAAAAGGTTGTGCAGTGGCTTAACACACAGTTGCTATAATGGGGAATTTGGTACAGACAAGGGGAGCGTTCTACTGAACCAGCAGTTTAGCTTGTCACCAGGTTTCACTGTTCGTTAACCCTTTGGTACGGAGACACAATTAGCTGCCTAGACTCCTGGTAAGCACCACAGGGAACGAAATGTTGTTCCTGGACAGGCAAAGTAGCAGTATCATTCATACCTTTTCTTTGTCACTCGCTTCCCTGGAGACTGTTGAGCCCTGATAAGAACAAAAGAAGTTGGACATAATTCACCATGAGCAGCCATCGGCAGAATTTAAATTGACCGTCACTAGGGGTAAACGTACAAGACTCAATTTATTTTTTTAAAATGCTTCTTTGCTCCTGATGAAGAGGTAACCTCACCAAAATATATTTTAAACACACAATATAAAGGCGTCAGACAATGGTCTGAGCTGGTTGGAGACTGCGTTCCCTTTTCCCTCGTTCGCAGTCTCTCTCTACTACATCCAGTAATTTGAGCAATGCAATGTGTTGCTCCGATTTTAAAAATATACCTGATCGAGAGGAGAGAGACCTGCACCTTCCTCTGAATTGTCTGGTCCTGGCTATTATAGGAGACCGGAATCTGGGCTAGATGATCCAATACCTGAATCCCTACATGAACCCGTCTCTCACTATGACCCACGCTTTGAACAGTGAGGATGAAATCCTGCCCCCAATTGAAGTCAATGGCAAAACCCCCTGAGCCAGACTTGTGCTTCCACACTTTCAAGGCTCAACTTTCTCACGTCCATGACAATGGACCACATGGTTTCTCTCTGCATTAGCACCTCCAGGAACTACACAGCTGCAAAAAGCTTCCGACCTTTGCTTTATGAAATGCAGCTCACCCACTACACTATGAAGAAGGGGATTTTAGCTCAATAATATGCATCTCTCCCAGTGCAGACAAGGCAGGATGAAAAGAAACACAATGAACCCAAGTGACATGCGAACAAAAGGAAAGTGAATACTTTGGTTCAGTGTTGTTTGGCCCTTAAGGTAATCCCGTCTTGGCCACAAGCTGTAGGAGATAAAACACATTGTGCCTAGAACTTCCTAGCCTCAGCAGCTACAGAAATCGACCATCAGGCTCTTTGAAAGTGAACTGCAAAGCCAGAATACCTTCTGTCTGCCCTTTTCTACTCTTATTTATTTTATACATATTTTATAAAGTGAACCTCAATATTAGAAGTACCAGGTCCCTGCTGCACTGCTGGAGCTGAAGGACTGTCAAGCTTTAGCGGAATAGGAAGGTCCTGGATCTGAGTTATGGGACTTATTCAGTATCTCTTCCCTCTTCAACTAGGGGCTGGCACAGATGCCACTCATGTTTCAGCCTCAAGAGGTGTCCACATCCAGGTCCACCAAAGCTTGACAAAGTCCTTCAGCAAAAAAGAAAGTCAGGACCTTGTTGATCTAGTGTGAAAAACAATTGAAGAACGCTCCATAAAGAAACAGGAAGGGGCTCCTATACAGGGAGAGGTACTGACCATGTATGGACTGGCCGCTTTCAAACCCTTACCTTCAGATCATACTTCCGATGCACAGTCAGCCTGTGACTAAATACGTTCCTGGTGACTACCATGTAGGTTTCCACTCCGTCCACGGTGAGTCTGTACATGCCTAGGAACTGGGGGAGAAGGGTGTTCCCATGGCATTCCACTATAAACTGAAAGGGTGAGGAGGGAAAAAGAGGAAGTCACACTACAGGTCTCCGGTAGTGCACAATGTCAAAGAGAAGCGAAGCGTCTAACTCCAACTGAGAATGGGGCTTTTTAATGGCCATCCTATATCTCTGCTCAAGGGAGGCAAAAGGACCCATTAAAACACAGCAGAGCAGCAGAATGGAGCAGCCATTTCTATGCACGGCAGCTGACCCGGATTACTTTTTTCCCCTCTGCAAAATAGCATTTTCCCCTCCTTATCCATCTGGAAAGCTTTTCAGATCCAACGTGGAACCTTAGGAAGAGGTCTCGGTTTATAGCTTTCGAGCATTGGCAAGCCTGCAGAGCAGGGATATTTACACTGTTAGGAGGGCCAGGCCTTTGGGGGAGAGGTGAAGTTAAAAATCCCATTGTGCTCCCAAAAGAACAGAAGACAACCTGGAGCCACTGGCAACGTCCAGTTTCTAACCATACAACCTCCCCCACGCAAAAGCTGCCACGCGCTGTAGCTGAAGCTATGGCCGTTCCACTTGAATCCAAGGACTAGTCTCAACTCATCAGGCTCCCACCGCAATGCATCAGACGTGCCCCTAAGGCGTTATCTGCCACCCTCTCCTCAGGGTTCTAGACTCACCGTACCTGATGGTACTTCTTTAGTATGTTGTGCATCTCTGCTACGTCTTCGCTCGACACTGCCTTAATGACAAACCTCCTGTCGTAGGTGGTCAGGAAACGGGCCCCGCATCGACCTTGGCTGTCGCTGTTCACTGGGGCGCTTCGTGTTACGGAGTTCTGAAGGGGGAGAGAAGAGGTGTGATTTTACCAGAGGAGATGGTAATGAACTGCAGGTCCCCCCTTTTAAAGCCAAGGCATCAGCTCAACAGGTCCAGCAGTTCTCTACCTTCTCCCCAGGATAAACAGATTTCAATGGGACTGCCTTTGTATTCTGTGTTTGTACAGCACCTCGGCACTTAGTACTTAATATTCTGGTCCGTGACTGGACCTCCTAGACTCTACGGTAATACAAATAATGGGAGCTGTTAGATGCTCAACGCTTTTGAAGGCAAGGCCACTTATTTGGGTGCCTAGATCTGGGATCCAGCACCCTGATTTTAGGCCTCCATCTTTAAAAAGCTTGCCCATCAATTTGTTAACACACATTTAATGCCAGTGATTAACACACATTTTGAAGCAAGGAAGTCTTCCCTAAAGATTCATCAGCTCTCACCCCTTCAGTGATGATGCAAGGGCTCACAATACACATGGTCAGAGACTCCTTCAAGTTTCTCCAGCAGAACCAAGGACAGATTAGACATTCCTGATACGTCCAGGGTATAAAAACAAGTAGGAATAAAGGAATTTTTAAAAAGGTCACTCTCTCTTGATCCATCGTAAAGCAGCAACAACTGGCACAAGCCTAACTGCTTAGAAATCCTCGGCAGGTCACCTTGGAACCAAAAGCCGTTCTCTGCTATTCTTGTTCTTGAGAGTTTGACCAAAGGGCCCAGAGAACAGAGATACTGATTGTTCTTCCAACATGCAAGAGGAGCTCTCCTTTATATTCCTCTCTCCACCCTTCGGAACAAGATGCAGCCGCTTCTCTCAATCCTCACAGCAAGACTGGAAAATCCAAACGGAACTGCCGAGTAGAGTAATCTGTGACAATAATGTTCTGCGACAAGGCTGCAATTAAGTTGTTTCATCCTTTGACCACACCACTTAATAAATAGCCTCAAGTCCTGATGAAAGACAATACAGTGGAGTGCTAGAAATGTCGCAACTGCAATTTACATAGTAGCCACAGAAGATGTATCTATTCTAGACTGTTTTCCCTACCCCTTAAGGATTCCCACCATTGTGATCTTAGTCCAGTTTTGCTGGTGATAGCCGAGGTGGGGGACAGCTCTGGGACAGCCAATGTTCTGGTGGCTGCCAGAGTTTTAATCATCATGTCATCTATACACGGAAAGCAGGGTTATATGATGTGGTGGTCAAAATGCCAGTGGATGGTCTACATTAGCACTTTCACCACTACTGCACCAGTGGGACATTTTTAGAAGTCTAGTGTAGTCAAACCTTTTTAGAAAAAGCTTCTTTGGTGTCTTTACTATGATGATTTAATATTGTGGTAGCACCTTAAAGGCCCAAGCCCCATCCTGCGAGGCACTGAACCAACACAAAAAGAGAGAGCCCTTGCCCCAAACAACTTGCAGTCTAAGCAACTTTGGCAGGGAACTGATTGTCAGCTTCTGTTCTTTCCCCATCCCTCTTTGCTGCACGCCTGTAGCTGAGCATTTGGTCTAAGCTGTCAGACCGACATCCTCCTCAATCCATAACGAACTAACATAACAAACGTTTGTCACTTTGCCCTCACCCATTACTGCAGCCTCCCCTTGCTGCAACTGCTCTGCAAGAACAGCTGGTTTGCACCTTTCCCGCTTCTATTATCATACCATGTGTACGTGCTGGGCGCTGCACACACACACACAGGAAGAGACTGAACAAGACCCACAGAACTTGATACTTAGAGTGGGAAGGGATTGTCCTCCCCATTTCACAAGCTGGGCAGTTCAGGCACAGAGCAATGAAGTGACTTGCCCAAGGTCCAACAGAGATTCTGTGGCAAAACCAGGAACTGAATTCTGATCTCTCTCCTAGCTACAAGGCCATCCTTCCGCTTTTAAAGTTCAACTCTTTTCCTTCCCTCCGCAGCCCTGGACATAGTTTTATGGATATGAGCAAAATCATCATTTTACTAGACTCTGAAGCATTGCATTTTATGTTGCTATTTCCTTATATCTACCCACACAAGCTAATCCTTACACCTGTGCGTCAAAATGCACATTAGGATGAAGGATGCTACGTCGCCAAACGTACGTGTGCTTTTCTGGATCCCGGTTACACACATCACCACCACATATTTTTACGCCAGTAATTACTACTACGCTCTCTTCTCCATTCACGGAGCTTTTTGAAAGCATACCAGCAGAGGGAGCCTGCTTTTCTGCTCCTGTGGAGCATGGGACATGTAGGCAAACAGAGCCTGCTGCGAACTAGGGGGGTTTCCAGTTGCAAACTAAAAAATAAGCTGAGGAGAGAGTTTTCATTTTAGAAGGAAGCATTTAAATGCACCTCACTTTAATGCAGAAGGGGGAAAACTCACTTCCTGCCAATGGCCTAGAAACCATCAGGGAAAGCGGGGGTGGGGGGAGGGAGAGGGACATGGGGAAATTGCTTCTTGCTGACATTTGCAGCTTAGTAGGTGCTGTGTGGGCTAACACGCATCATCTCAAAACCCGAGCAGTTGCCACCATCAAGCCGACTTCCCTTCTTCTAGAGGAGACAGGAAGCAGAAATCCTGACCATTTGTGGTCATTTAGAGATCCTGTCGTGACGCTCCGATTTACTTTATTCTCTCTCCCCCATAGAGTAGGGATGATAAAATATAGCTTCCTGGCCAAATTCCCACTCAAATAATTACATTCTACCTGCCTGGAACTCCACTGAAATTTCTGCTGAATGCAGCATTCTTTACTTCCTGTCCTACACCGCCTCAGTCCAACGGAGTGCTGTTAAACAGCTGACACTGTCCCACCCCAGAGATGGGAGAAATGGTTCTTGCAGAGTGACAGACACTACATAAATGACAGATTAGGCAAGAGAGGAAAGTGACGCAATAATGGTGTTGCCAGATAGGTTAAGCTGTATTACTCAGAATCACTTCCTAAGAAAAGAGCTTCTAGGCTACGTAAAAACATGCTAAGGCAGATTAGCCAGAGGACAAAAATAACGACAGAGAGAAAGCAGCTAACAACTTTCACATAAACAGCTGTAAGAGGCACGTTGAATTGTGTGAAACCAACACCCACACAGTTATTTCTTACAGCCAACCCGTTACACCTCAGCTAGAGTTAGGATAGCTTTGTCTAACCTTCCGCCTCAAGATCTGGATAAAGCCTGGCATGAAATCATGCCAACAGGCTGGGCGACAGAGGCACTTCCTCTGCCAGTACAAAGCAATCACTGTACAGAGAATGTCTGACAGCAGGAGGGAAAAAAATAAAGGCTGGCGTAGACCATACCATTGAAAAGAGGGACTAGTCATCTCTAGTGACTGGCTTATGTGGGTTCTCTCCAGATGTCACCGAGATTCCAAAGATGATACTGTAACAAATCAATGGCCTCCTATTGACCCCATCACTAGGCTGCACATCACAGCCACTCAGACCTTCACAGTGACTTCAGGGAGAGAACTCCGATCCTCCTGCTCCGAGTACACAGCCCCCAAACACTGCAGCTGACGTGGATCCGTTAGCAGTACGACGACACGCAGTTGTGCCCAGTATGAGCGCGCAGACACGCACTAGGGCATTTCCATCTTTAGTATTTAAAAAGCAACGTCAACGACCTTAGCACAATTTTTTCCACTTGGTTTTGTATTACCAGTAGCCAAGGATTCCTGGACACTTTACACATATTCTGCTTTTCACTGGATGATCTCAAAATTCCTTACCAACATTAAGGGATTTCATTGGGTGGTTTGAGAATACCTGCATTTTTATCAATGGGGAAACTAAGATGTACGTAAGAATTCCTGTTCACACGGTGAATCTGTGGCAGAGCGGAGATTTGAGTGCAGGAGACCTGCCTTTTGCTCCTGACTCCATTGCTTCTCATACCAATGTGCAGGCAAGAGATGAAGTGCGAGCAGAGTGGGGGCACAGGGTGTGGGGAAAGGTTTCTGTTGCAAGCCTTTTTAGAGCTTATCATAGTAAATAAAAAGTTATGAAAAATACCCAACAGCACCTTGTTAGAGAAATTCCTTATTTGTGATGGAACCAAGTGTAACCGATACACTAGATGCTCATTAGTAGCAACATATCAATGCCTTTTGCTGTGTCGCTCCTAAACGGCTCTTGCTTTTATGGGGAGTGTCGACAATTCGCAGTAGGGAAAACGTTCCCAGGGGAAACGTTGCTCGTAAGCGGCGGTTGCTCTTCCCAGGTGCTGCTGCAAACAAGCGTCTACTGTAGAGCACTTTTCATCAGTGAATCTCAAAGCTCCCAACTTCGGGTGTCCCTAAACCTCCAACTGCCAGATGCTGGGACTGGGTGATGGGGGATGGATCATGCAATAATTAACCTGTTCTGCTCATTCCCTCTGAAGCATCTGGCACCAGCCACTGTCAAAAGAGAGGATGCTGGGCTAGATGGACCATTGGTCTGACCCAGTGTGGCCACTCTGATGTTCTTAAAGTGCTTTAGCAAAGGAGGGTAGTATCATTACCCCACCATTTTAAAGATGGGGAAACTGAGGCACGGGGCAGTGAGGTGACTTGCCCAAGGTCACCCAGCAAGCCAATGGCAGAACCAGAAATAGAACGTCGATCTCCTAAGTCCCAGTCTACTCTCCCAAGGGCCAAAACTCAAGAAAGCACGTGCACCGGAAAAACACAATGTCCAGGAGATAAGATGAAAGGAATTTTCCATCACAAGCAACTTCCAGCGGAGATTGTGTGTGCAGCAGAGTTAATCATTCAGCTGTAGCTGTGAAGTATCCAGTGTGCTCCTTGTACATGTGCGTGCGTGTACACACACACACACACACACACACACACACACACACACACACCCCTCTCCTCATCCTCCAACAGGATCGCTCTTTATAGTCACCTCTGCTCCATCTCCAAAGCAGCAGATGGGCTGTCACAAGAGCTAGCAGTGTGAAATGTGGACATGGAACTGCAGCCACTGTTTATTTCTCACTATGATGAACAGTCTATTGCAGAAGAGAAGCAAAGAAAACTGTTGCTTCTGCCATAGGAAATCTGCTCTGCTCTGTGAAAACATCCTGTGTGTATCCATTCTGACTGGGTGTGCAATAAGGCAGCAGACTAGAAGGGAGTCTAACAAGTGGGGGGAAGGGTATCGGGAAAGAGGCTTCTACTGAAATATAGTTACAGAAAAAAACCCTCAAAATAAAGTTCATCAAGAGCCCCATCATGCTCCTAAGAGGAGGGAATTGTGCTTACACAGCCTTTTTCATCCAGAGATCTCAGTGTGCTCCACAGACCTCATTCTGCAGGTGAAGAAATTAAGGCAGATGGGTTAAGTGACAAGCCCAGGGTCACACAGCAAGACAGTAGCAGAGTGACAAGCAGAACGCATGCTCCCCTGGCTCCTAGTCTCATGCTGTAACCACTGTGTCTCTCTTCTCAACACGCTCCTAATAAGGCTTACAGGACATGAAGCTACCTTGCTGTAGAAACCGAGACCTGACTCGTACAATAGAAAAATAACTGGGAAAACCTTTAAACAAATTAACCAATGTAAGGCTAAGGAAAGGTGCTGGATTGACAGCTCTGAAGACTGAAGGACTAAGGACAGCTACAATACAAGCAGCTCAGACCTCCACCAGGATGCCCATGGGCAATATATCAACTCAAATCTGGACAGATCCATTCTACAGGGGTATTCCGTTTCCATGGCCCGTTCGATGCGTGATCTCTTGGTGATGCCGACAACAAGTGTGTGTTTTACTGACATATGCTTCCCTCCGGGCCCCTGAAGTAGGAGACTAGAAACTGGACAGAGTAGCTCGCAATCCCCCTCCTGATGAGCCCTGCGCTGTCATCCGGAGGAATAATAGCGGCAATTGCACCTTTGCTTCCAATGCTGTCTGGGGTGAGAAAACAAATCTCATTACACTACCCTCGACACTCACCGGAGGAGGGTGGGTGAGAACTGAGACATAATGAGAGAGAATTGTGATGATCTTTCGAAAAATACGGCCAGGATGCCAGAAAACATTAAGTGGGTGAAGTGCTGGGGGAGAGAGAATTTTTACAAGGAGATCATATACACGAAAACACACTCAAATATCAGGCTTAATCAATACATTGTTCCAATGCTGCAGGTTTCAAAGAATCTGTAGATACGCATCAGCAGCCCATTGCTGGCACGATGCCAACAGTTATCCACTGCTGCACAGATAAGATGTTTTAATTACCTGACATTCATACTGCTAAAGGTCAGGCTGCAATCAAAGCCTTCCTTTTTTTAATCTGTTTTATCTAATTTAAGTGGCCTCTTATCTCCCTGCCTGTTAAGTATCTGCTACCTCTTTAGAGCTAAAAACTACAAAGAAGAAGGGAGGCTCCATTACATCCCAGTGAGTTGCAACCACTCTGACAACTGGATTTAAGCCAAACTACAGGACACAATGGGCCGTTCCCCTCCCTGCCCCCACATCTCAGACAGGTCTGAATGGTCACAGCTGTGCTGTTAGGACAGGTCCCAAGCACAGAGCATCTTGAGAAAACCCTAGTACAAAAATAATTACTCAGCGCAGTCACTTTGTGGAAGAGGCCCCCAAACCTGCAAACGGGACACGCCTCCTTTCCACGGCGGCTCTTTCAGAAACCTGCAAAACCAAACGCTGCAAATATCTAAACTCTTGCAATCTCCACAAGTGGTTTTTTTCCCCCCGTACCTGATAATCTTGATCGTCAATCCCAAATCTTTCGCGGAGGTTTCGGAACACCATGGGGCAGTACTCCTTAAATTTAAAACGACTTGGCAAGTTTTCCCTAGGACAGACAGCAAGACGTTATTCAGGCACAGCAAACTCTGTAGTACAATTTTCAAAGCTATTTTCCTGCTCTAAGCTCCTACTACTTCACCATTAGCCCCGGAAGTGTTTCAATTACTCATTTCTCCTCCATTCTCAGCTTTGTGTTTTCCTGAATTATTGTTCTGCGTGTTCCCTAATAGCCTCATTCTGCAAACACTTACCTGTACTATGCAACTGGTCATATTCAATTCTGTAGGTTTTAGGCACTATGATAATACATATAATAATAACTCATGAAAAGTTACTAATGTAGGTAAGTGTTTTCAGGATCTGGTCCTTAGTTTGCAAGCTCTTTGGGAGAGGGTGTATGTCTTACATGGTTGCGAAGGACTGCGTAAATTCACAATGATGTGTGCTTTTATCAATCATTATTATCTGCTCTACTCCGCGCTGATTAGGCCTCGACTGGAGTATTGTGTCCGGTTCTGGGTGCCACATTTCAGGAAAGATGTGGACAAATTGGAGAAAGTCCAGAGAAGAGCAACAAAAATGATTAAAGGTCTAGAAAACATGACCTAAGAGGGAAGATTGAAAAAATTGGGTTTGTTTAGTCTGGAGAAGAGAAGACTGAGAGGGGACATGGTAACAGTTTTCAAGTACATAAAGGGTTGCTACAAGGAGGAGGGAGAAGAATTGTTGTTCTTAACCTCTGAGGATAGGACAAGAAGCAATGGGCTTAAATTGCAGCAAGGGAGGTTTATGTTGGACATTAGGAAAAACTTCCTAACTGTCAGGGTGGTTAAGCACTGGAATAAATTGCCTGGGGAGGTTGTGGAATCTCCATCATTGGAGATTTTTAAGAGCAGGTTGGCCAAACACCTGTCAGGGATGGTCTAGATAATACTTAGTCCTGTCATGAGTGCAGGGGACTGGACTAGATGACCTCTCGAGGTCCCTTCCAGTCCTATGATTCTATGATTATAAAAGCCTAATCGAAAAACATAGTAGGATTGTATTCAAAGGCCAAAAAAAAAAGTCTCTCACAAAAGCTCAGAGTCCACATTCCCAACTGTATTGTGGCACTTCCAATCAACAGCACAATGCACTTCGGTTCTCAATGCTTTAGAAGCTGCGTGCATCATTTTCACCATTCTGCAGGTAAGGGAATTGAAGCGTGGAGTTGTGGAATGACTTGTTCAAGGGCACAGTGTGAGTAAGTGATCCAGGTCTCGTACTTCTGTTTCCGTGCCCTAACCATTGCACAGCACAGCTTCCTTAATCCAGAACAAAGTTTTCAAGCAATGGAACGTACAGTCCGAGATGTGTCTAGAGAAACCAGTTGGTCCCCGGAGGCTAATTTGGGCAGATGTACCCTGTAATACATCATGACTGTTTAAGATGAAAAGCTGGGGAAACCAGTCCTCTAGATCTTCGGGACTAAGCAAGGTAAGGAGGAGGTCAGTCACTGGCAAGTGGTTAATGGTCAGGAGACAAAGGAGAGTGGATGAATCTGCTCCAGTCTTGCTCCTCTTAATGCATAATGCAAGATTCTCTCGCACATCCCTCTCCCTCAATTGAGGCATCACGGGAGGCTCAGAGCCAGGTAACATATTGCCACTCCCGATATCAGTTACATCTATTGGTTCGGAGCACTTCCAAACACAGAATCTTTGGTGGTCTCCGTCCAGTTCCCAAGGACAAGAGTCCACATCACAAAGCCCCCCAGAGCAACTGGCTCCCTTGTCAGCAACCTCAGCAGAGAGGCAAAGAACCCAAGGGATCGTGCAGAATGAACCCCCCACACATACTCTCCTAGAGGTGGTCTCTCTGGGGCAGGTTTGAGGCAGACAGGTCAGGCAGGGTGGGAGGAGGAGAGAGAACTTCAGCCTTGGGGTGTTGGATTAACAGCCCTCCACGAGCACTAAAACAAATTCAACCCAATCCAGCAACTACCCCTCTGTGATTACAACGATAGCTTTTCTTTATCACAGCACTGACTGCACCTCTGCATCACCAAGTAAGTGACCAAGGCCAAACCACAAGACAGCATGGCACTGACAGTCAGAATACCCACTTCCCCGCTTCGCAGGTTTGGCATGTCACATATGCTCACCTATTTCAAATCATGCCACATGGAAACATCTGAACTGGTCACTGCCAATCCTCAGGGAGAGCAGAAGCTCTTTACAGACAATGAACAGCGAGGGGTGGGGGAGGTGAAACCACACCTACTTACTTGTTGAAAAGATGATTGTCCACCTTAATCTTACTGTAGGCTTTAAAGTCATCCGGCATTAACATGACAGGGACAGGGACATTGCTTAGCTCATTGATCTGTAAGAGAAAGGAAAACCAACAAGACTCAAACTTGAATCATGATCCCGTCATTATCAGGGGGTTTACTGGTGACCCCGGACACCTATGGATGTTGTTGAATACTTGCTAGAAACGGATTTGGAAGCGATACAATTCATTCAACTTTTATAGCATATTTCTGTGCTGAACAGATCTTGGAAAGTGCGGTGGTTTCAAGTTTAAAAGGGCATTATACAATGACGTGGCAAGTGCGTTTCCAGCCAACCTCTGCTCTGCATTATTCTAAGGCAGCTACAATTTGTTAACCTTCTATTGATCACCCAGGATGGGATTCGAGAACGAAGATTTAACCATGTCCTGTGAGGCATCACTCAGATTTTCTATTTTTACTCTCCTCTCTCTTTAGGTCAAAAGCCGCACTGGCAACAAACTCCATAACTAGTTCTCACTGTTATAAATAATGGTTGGACAGTGACGGAGGTTCTGGACTGCTTCTCTCTAGCCAATACAGCTGTCTCAGCAATACCAGCTCCTTCCTTGGCTGTCTCTTGTAGTTCTTATCCCACACTCCTCCAAAGAATGAATCACTCCACTGGCTCTCTGTTGTTCTCTGTTCATGTGTGGCAACCACAGGAATATCTGGAATCAGGCGATTGGGTATTCAGCTGCCACACTGCAGAACAGCGACTTTGGAGAAAGCCATGTATGAACATTCAGTCTGTTGCACCAGGGACTGAAACAGCCTGTAGTAAAACAACGGGGGGGGGGCTAAATGTGGCTATAATATGCTAAATGAACCAACATGATAAGAAATATCAAAGCGTGACTGTCCCCAGTGACGCATTGAAGCATTCTTCGCAAGCGTGGCTCGCTAAGCAATGCCCTCCATTTCAGCTTTACCTAAACCCCAAAGTTTGCTCAGACTACGACAAGTCCAATCGTTATTCGTTAATTTGGAAGACACAGTGGCCACATCAGTTCCAACTCACTGATCTGGTATTAACACAGTGGATTTACAAAGTAATTCCACCGCAATTCAATTACCATTGTTATTTTAAAATGTGCCTGCAACAATCCGGTAATACTTGAAGAGAAGCAGCCTGCCCTTGTAGTTAAAGCAGTGGGCTGGGAGTCAGAAGACCTGGGTTCTGATCCTGACTCTTTCAGAGTCCTTGGATAAGTCACTTAACTTCAGGGTGCCTCAGTTTCCCCATGTGTAAAATGGGGGTGATATATCTCTACCTCTTGGGGAGACTGCAAGGTTTAATTCATTGTTTGCAAAGAACATGGAGATCTGCTGATGGAAGGCACTAGAGAGATGGCCAGGGGATTATCTAAACCGTTCTAATATCTTAGCACACAATCACTGAACACACAAGTATTTTTCACATCTCTGTTCCCATTGTTGCCCATGAAAGAAATGCACATAAAGAACTGGGGGATCAAACACTGGACTGCATTTTCACTGCAAAATCAGGTGTGTTACCAAGGGAAAAGAGAACTATTAAAGAGAAAAACCCTGGGAATCAGCAATGAGGGAGGAAAGTAAAAGGGCCATTGTCTGGTTAAAATTTGAAAGCAGAAGCTCTTTAAAGCACTGCCCAGTATTTACTCTGTAGCAGCATCAGGGGATGGTACCCACTTACATAAAGTGCTTTGTTGTACCACACAGATGAATGAATAAATAATGTTACACGCTGCCTATCATTTGTAAATTGCAATGGAGCGAAGAGCCGGATACTCTCACTGCATTTCCTGAAAGCCTGATCCCGGACAAGGCAGATACCGAGGGCTGTGTGTAGAAGTGCAAAGTGAAAGGAGATGGCCTAGGTGGGAGGTGTGGCAGACCCTCAATTCTGCATTAATAAGAGGTGCTGCTTGCAGCTTCCAAGTTATCCTGCCTAGTAGGAGGGAACTACTAAATCGCCTCTCCTGAGACATACCCATTTTCAGCCCTTTTTTATCCTGCGCCATGGTGAGAGCTGGCAAGCCATAATCTGCCTGTTCTAGAACAGATCTCGGAAAGAGCGCCAAAGGCAACATTACAGTGCTCTTCAGAGCCACAGAGGTATCCAAAGCCAATGGCTGCGAGGAAAAGGGAATTTGGAGATGGCGAAGATTTATGTATGAACTGCTCCCTGATGGGAGGCAAAAAGATTTCAGCCTGACCTTTGTCTCTCCTGGCTACTGCCACAGTGGCTTTACCTGGTACAGCCCTTTCGACTGACAGGTGTGATTTGCACCGGGGCTACTCCAATGCTCATTCAAAGCACGCCCTGCCCCACAGGACAGAGCATCAACGTCCAAGGGAAAAATCCGTCACTAGCAGCCTCCTCGCCAAGCCAGCCGCATTCACTGGACCCCGCTACCAGCTTTTGGACACTGAGTCCAAAGGGCCTGTTAAGCATAGTCCTCTCAGAGGAGTGAGACACTAGATGTTAAATCTTGGCCAAATAAAAATGGAACTACAAAGGCATGCTATAGTACGTATGTATTTATACTGCTCTCATCACCATAGTATCTGAGTGCCTTCCAACAGTGCATTAAGCAAGGTGACTAACATCTGTCGTGTCTGTTCTTTCATCCGCTCCCCAAGGAGAGGAGTGTGTGCAGACGCACGTTACTATGAATTTATGTTAGAGAAAGCAAAATCAAAGAACTGCGCGCTTGGCACAGAAGGTGGCGAGGTTTGTGATGGTCCCTGGCTCCTGGGGCAGTCCATTCTAGTGTGTTGGGCCAACCTCCGAGAAAGTTGTCTCCTGCACGGACAAGCTTTACCCTTATTGTAGAAGCTCCCTTTGTGCCAGAGGAGTGATGTTATCAGACACACTCTTTTATCTCAGAGTTTTAGGCAATCTTTTAGATACCCTGGGCCCAGGCCATGGAGATGAGAACCAAGACTTTGAACCTGACTCAATATTCTGTGGGAAGCCAGTGGAGGGAGAAGCGGACAGATTTGATGTGCTGGCCGTAGCATGGTGTCCCTAGCCGGTTTGTCAGAAGCTGGGAATGGGCGACAGGGGATGGATCACTTGATGATTCCCTGTTCTGTTCATCCCCTCTGGGGCACCTGGCATTGGCCACTGTCGGAAGACAGGATACTGGGCTAGATGGACCTCTGGTCTGACCCCGTATGACCGTTCTTATGTTCGCTAAAGAGACACTGAGATTCACCTTTCAGTCAGTGCATTTGCTGACTAATCTAATCCCATTGATACATGTTATCTACCGTCCTAGACCATAAGCACTCAGGGCAGGGATGCCTTCATCCCTGTCTGTAAAATGCCTGGCACACTGTTGGCCCTCTACAAGTTGTTTCCAACCATTCTCCTCCCCCCATCTCCTCCCACCAAAAAAGACCTTTTAAAAGAAATCAGTTCTTGGGCGGTCTTGAAAAATAAATTGTCACTTTACAGGGCCCATTATGCCTTTTTAAATTGCCATTGGACTTTCTATTCTCATTCCAGGCGAGACCACAGCAAAGTAAAGACTCAAATGGGACACTCAACCCCCCCAGCTCTGGTCAGTAAAGGAGTGCCAGTAAGAGGGGCATACGCTGCTGCTGCCCATTCTGTACCTGGTCTGTTGCATTTTTGCCGGGGTTTAGTCAATCTGGCATCGATCCCCTTCCCCAGAATTCTGATTTAAATAGGATGACACATGCCAGTCATCATCATGATCAATTTAAAACAAAACCCACCAGATACATGAGAATCTGGAGGGCAGATTACAGAATTTAGCAGTAGGTCATGCTTTAGATCGAACTATTTGACGATGTCTCAAACGGCAAAGTCACCGCAACAAGGAGCGAATGCTTCTGGTTTCACCTGAGTGCAAGCACAATACCACTAACTAGGACATGCAATTTCCTCCTTTGTACAAGATAAAATAAAAACGGCTCATATTGCTCTGTAAATACACAGGCAGGGCAAGCTGTGGTGCTCTTTAGTGCCTTGAATTCTTGGGCAGCAGTAATCAATAGGATTCTAGGTTTATTTGCAGTGGGTAACTCATCCTTATTAGCAAGGGTGATTTCTTATTCAATAAGACATCAATATTCTGTGCAGTTCAGGGCCAGCTGTTCTCAGGATAAACAGGAAAAGCAGAATTTCATTTCAAAACCTGACTAGCCTCAAAGTGGCAATTACCATTAGTAAATTGATGGGACAACGCAATTTGTTTACAAACAAGATCTAAATGACGGCATATCCAAGTCTATTCTCCAGAATTCTTTAGAGCAGGAATTTGCTCAGAAAATAAAAAAATACTTTGTTCCCTTCTAGTGCCTTTCAGCCAGGAAACACAAACTGCTTTGGGAGCATTAATCAAGCTCCACAACACCCTCATGAGGTAGGTAAAAGATATATGTAGGGATCACTTTCATCAGCACTGAGATCTGACCACATCTGGAGCAGAATACAACCGCTCAACTGCAGACCGCAATACGGTGCAATGGTTTAGGACAGAAAGTGAAGAAGAATACTGTACACAACTGAAACCCTAAGTGTGGGTTGGTTTGAAAAAATAGTTTTCCTGAGCTGAAGTGTGATTAATTAGACAGATTATGCCATGGAACTCTTCGTAACCATTAGCAGTAAGTTTTGGTTCTACAGCTCATGCCAGAGATGGAACCTCCTGCAGGAAAACAGCCCCTAGCACCACCCTTGGATATTGTTTGATTAAGGGACGAGCATCTCCTAGTGACACTGAACAAACTCCTTCCTGAAGCACCTCAGAGATCTCCACTGACCTAGCCCAATCTTGAATAGCTTGTGAGCTGTGATGGAATCGCAGCCCAATATGCTAGGGTTGCAGGCCATGAGATCACCCAGTCGAGTTTTTCTGATGTATTTTAGGTACTTATATGGCCCCAATCACAGTAACTGTCTCACAATCTTTAACGTATTTATCCTCTCAGGCCCCCTGTGAAACAGGTAAGTGCTATTATTATAGACGGAGAACTGAAGCACAGAAAGACTAAGTGACTTACCAAAGGTCACAAAGTCAATCTGT